GAGAGAGAGAGAGAGAGAGAGAGGATACCTTTTTGGGTTCCACGTTTCATACTTTCGTAAGGCAAGTCTAGCCATCTAAGTCGTCTCTGGTCGTTTCCCTTCGTCATTTTCCTCTCCACCCTTATTAACCACTCGAGAGCTCCGCCACGACGTGGACAGCCGTGGCCTCCCCCTGCCCTTTTCACGCGCCGCCAATTACCAGCCATCTTATTCCGCTGCATTGCAGGTGTATTTTCGCTGTAACGGTGACCGGGCTGAACGGTCGCAGCACCAGGATTTTGTCGACCCTCGTACCGGAACAAGGGTCGTCGAGGTCGAGTTGAACGTGACGAGGAATGAGGTCGAGGAGTACTTCGGTAGGGAGAGGTTCAAGTGCGAGTGCGTGGCATGGTCGGGACCAGGTCAGATTCGAGGGCAGCCTGCCACGGTTGAGGTCGCTTGTAAGTAGAGAACACTCCAATCTATCCGTTCGTGTCCTCCCTCTTTTTTCCTCTTCGAGCTTCCCTTCGAGCTTGATAGGAGATCGTCCCTTTTCGTATTTTACCATTTTTGATACACGAAAGGATCCTCGAAATCGCATTTTCGGGGACTTGATTTAAAACAAAAATACGAAGTTACGAAGATTATGTCGGTTTTCTGTTTGTATGTCAGAGAAGAATAAGTTTTTCTGCTCCCTTTTTAAACAACTCTTTATAAGATGCAATCCTCTTTTATCCCTCTTGATTATTCCGAATATTAAAGATTGGTGAAAGTAAAGATAAAGATTAAGCTCTCGCTCTTCAGAGACGTTATAAGACATCAAAGGCAACTTTACGATATTTTCAAAACATTGTGACTGTCAAGTAAAATAAAATATTATCAGTGTTTCGAGTTGTTTGCTTTTATTAGTAAAAGTTTTTGTAATGAAAAGTTTTCTGAAGAGATCAAACATTCCTGAAAAAAAAAAAGAAAGATATCATTTCTTTATTATTTAGTATTTTTATTAATAAAAAAATTTAATCGTCATTTTATGAGATTGCTGGAATAATATTTTAAATATTATATACAATAGCAATTTTATATTTACAATTGTTTTACGATACGATAATGAAAAACCTCAATGTATGGAATTAAATTAAATATTTCAGATAAAAAAAATTCTAACTGAAAGAAATAAAATAATTCTTTACTTTTTTGAAGATGAGAATATTTTTATAAAAATAAATTACACATCATTTATTGTAGACATTGAATAACTAATTCGTAGGAATAACTCACAAATAGAAGACTCAATCATCCCCGAAACATAATAAATTCATCCTACCCCAACTCGTTCCTTTCCACGATTTTCCCCACGATAGTGTTCTGTATATTTCATCATGGAACAGATTACCAACTACCATAGAGAAAAATTAATCGAACAGAACCTCCCCTCCGATCAACCTATCCAAATCAAATTTTCATCCCAAGAATAATCCCTAAATAAAAACTACGTTCCCTTTATTACCAAATTAAAACCTTCGAATA